ATCACTGCTTGGGGACGCAACAATCTGGTATAGTGTAATGCTTCCAAAACACAGCACTGTACCGTGACGAACAAAAAGCGTCCTAGCGCTCATACGGTTCCGATGGATGGCCGGGTTCTGCCAAAGAGCCGTTCATTTAGGCTGGTCGTAGTCCAGATCACCGAGGACTTGATCTGGCACGAACACATCTTGTCAGTAGCGGCAGCTGCGGGGAAAAGCTAGGCTATTTGTTTCGGGCTAAGAAGTACTTCCGCATGACCTTCTCACTCTATACAAGGCCTAGAAAAGGCCTAGCCTCGAGTATTGCCCACACGTTTGGGGTGCCGCCACCCGACTATATTACCTATGCTCGCTGTAGTCCAGAGAAGGGCTGACCGACTGATCGATGACTCTTCTCTAACAAACAGTTTCGGGACTCTTTCACACCGGCGTCCGTCGGCGATCAAGTTCTCTTCTACCGCTACACCAACGGGCTTTGCTCCTCAGAGTTCTCTTCCATGATGCCGACGCGCGATGTGCCTGCGATACAGACCCGGCTGCTTCCGTACAAAAAAACTTACTACAGTAAAAGCTTCCTACTTCCATTGTATGCTGGCTGGGGAGAGAGCGCAGCATAATCACTAGTTGGGTTCGGACTTGAAAAGGTTTTAAGTGTAAAAAAGGCGAACTTTAATGGAATTACCAATGTAGCCAAAAATGCTGGAAATAGCCAGCGGACCAGAGGAGAAAAAATACAGAAAATCGCTAAGTCTGGCGACAATGTTGTTTTGTCCAGATGTCCCGTGACTCAGTCGCGGCTAGGATAGTGATGGGACATTTTATTCATACTTATCGGTGCACGAAAATAACTGAATGACTCAGCACACTGCAAGTGGGGAAAGTGAATTTTCTTAGGTACCAGAAGGAACTAAGGAACAGTTAAATAAGAATTCCATCTGACACGCATGAAACATCTGCCGAAATCAGGTTTAAGTGTTGTATGAAAATGTTTTATTGACATCGATGACTTTCTAGAACATCCAAAGGTCTGAAAAATCTTTGATAGATTTGAAAATCTCCAGAAAATATATAAACGTAGCCAACAGTCAAGCGAGTCAGAAATCTTTCGGAAGCAAGTATCGAGAACCACAGGCTCCAGGGGCGCGGGGAAAAGTGGAAATTATCTGACATGTGAGGCAACTTGAAGTGGGATGAGATTATAATTGAGAAAGTGACCAAAATAGAAGCTACTGAAATCAGCCTTTTGTGGTCTAAACTGTTACATATTACCAAGCTATTCAATCGCGTTTTCTTTCAGTGAAGCCACTGTTGGACTTCATTGACAGATTACTGCACGCGACACGACATGAGATTTGTTTAAAGCTGTTTTGGAAATAAATTTAGGATCAACGGTATTAACTAGGGTAGAGTATTTTAAACACAAATCTGCGCTAGTTTTATCCGAAGAAAACACCATATCTCTGAGCCACAGAAACAAAGAGAATCTCAGGCTTTCGATTCTCCCATCACTAGTGTGATGAAATGACAATTTGTCCCTCATTGGATTACTTGAAATAGTGTTGTACTTTCTAGTTGTTTGCATTAAGTTGCATTCAGTTCTAGGAACTAGTTCGTGAACAAACTACTTTATGCAACAATAGCTCAAAAAATATATGTACAGAAACAGAGCAGATATTCCAGTCTGTCAGTCGAGATAACGTAAAAACGATTCAATTCATATCTTTTAACCGTTTCAATGGATTCCACTGATTGAAAATGTATTCTCCCATCACATTACTCAGCCATCAAGCATTTTTTTTAAATTTTGGCTCAGTTGTATATAATTTCATAATATTTAATAAACTGAAAACATTTCAATGGCAAGCCGTCACTTCATACTTTACAGTGTTTTGTTTTGATGCTATTTGCAGCCAAAAATTTGACGGAGAGATCTTGAGGCTGATTGGGTATATTTTAGGAACTGTTTAGTACTCGTACCGTATTGGTGCAAAATAACGGTTTGTCAAATGGTGCAATCGGCAAATTTTTTTAAATCGAATACTATTCACGGATGAAGCATGTTTTTCGCGAACAGCAATAATAAATTTCCATAATAACCATGTATGGTATGAAAAAAATCCGCATGCTGTAATTGAACATAATACACAACACGACTTTCCCTTCAATATTTGGATTGGAATCGTTAGTGACCACTTGATTGGCCCTCATTTCCTTGGATTAATGGAAGAAATTCCTCTTAGAGAACGACGTCGCATGGTACATGCATGCCGGTGCTCCGACACACTTCAGTGTCGTTGTGCTAGAATACCTAGATAATAATTATCCAAATCGATAGATTGAAAGAGGTGAACCACAGCCATGGCCGCCTAGATCGCGTGAAATGAATCCTATCGATTTCTTTTTATGGGGACATTTTTGAAATCATTATTATGGGAGGACTTAAGAGTCAGAATTGTCGAGTCATGTCCGACTATACAAAATACTCCGGGTATTTACAGGAGAGTTCGTCAGTCAATGTGTAACAGACTAGACGCCTGTATTGAAGTCGAAGGTGGCCACTTTGAACATTTATTGTAAAAAAAGCTATTCGATATTTTCTATTGTTGTCGTTCTATTCGAATATAACTGTTCAAAACTATTGACCTTCTAAATAAACTTTTTTTCCAAAAATACAGGATAACACTATATTTTCATCCACGTTCACATTGAGCCTCAGCAACATGCAAAATTTATCATAGGTTATACCAACTACTCAATAAATACGTTTCATTGTTCATAGAAATATTTGGAACATTACTCGAATTTCTTTAGTGATAGTGCTCTAGCTCGAAAAGAAATCCGTTACGGACTCATGTTCATATGAACATTTAGTCTTCACATTAACCAACGATTCGATGGTTAAAGTTTGTCTGCATACTTTATCAACACCCTGTACATGGGTTCCATACTAGAGTAAGTTTTTTTTCATCAAAAATCAAGTTATCGATCATACCTACATTTCTGTCGGATACAACAAGAGCAAAAATGTTAGTTAATGGTTTAATAAAAAGAGATCGTTGCAATGATATCGTTTTGTACCTTAGACACCGATTTTTCAATTTTTGACAACTGTAAAACTTGGTGGTTCCTCAATTGAGATTGAAGTGCAAACATCGAAATAAATTTGATTTGTTAAATATTTTCATGATGAAAATACCACGATACTTTTAGTGACAGTAGAACCAAAAATAGCACCCCAAGCTACATGATGAGAAGTAAAATTGGTTTCGGATTATATTATATTTTTTGACATTATGTAAGATTTCTATAAGATGTCAGCTTAGAACTAGCTGTTGTTCACTTGATGTACACTCGTTCTGTAGCTGAACGTGCCTAAACGCCATGACGCTTCAGCTTATCAAATGTGATTTAACATCTGCTTTAGAGATGGCACTATTGGAGGTCTAAGATATACGTTGTATACTATAGCTGGAAGGAAACGGCAGTACATAGGTGCATAGTGAGGATTTGTGTGCTAATAATCTGATGATAATTCCACTGTTTTCTCACCGGCAAATACACTTGATTGAGATATATGCAAAGCTAGGTATTAGTTGCGCATCCCCTTTCCTCATTCATCCTGGAAATTACATAATGCAACATTGCTGAATTTAAAAAATGATAGAGATAAGAAAAGAAAATCCCTGGTTGGTGAACAGGTACATACAACCAGCAGGTAAGAAAATATGCCAGAGGCAGGAATATTAATGAAACGTGAAACAGTTATTATTTTTTATTTCCAGTTATTTAAATTTTATAGAAATTTATTTTGCGATGTCTAGTAGAAAATACAAATTAGCGCCTAGATGTGAAGCACTGCGAAAATGAAAATGAAAATCATTTTTGTGTGATGTGGCTTAATTACATACAACGCGTTTTTGAAAACGCAAAATACAGGTGAAAATCGTAATTTATAGCCTCTCTTCAGAAAAGACAACACAAATAACTCCTCTGGAACAGCTAATAGATATGGGCAGCATATTCAGTAAAAATTTTCTCAGCAAACATCGCTGATTTAACACACAACCAATACAATCACCACACAATCACCCAGATGCGATCTTGCTTCTCAACCAATTTTCTTTGTCACATGTGCTCAGAGATATACTCTACATACTATCAGGGCATTATGCAGCCAATAAAGCATACTGGAGAACTCACTTTCAGCTGGTCATTGAGTCATTTCTCCATAGATGACGCTAGGGTGACGCTCACAGTCACCACATAATAATCAAGATGTGACCTTGCTATTCAACTAATTTTCTTTCTTTCACATTTTCTCAGAGATACATACTCTACAGACTATCTCGACATTCTGCAACCAACAAAGCACGCTGGAAGATCTCCATAGATGACGCTAGGGTGACGCTCACAGCCCTCATAGCTAGCAATAGCGGAATGAACTGTTTATACACTAGGAACTATCTAGTCAGAAAGATGACATTTTATCGCTTTTCATGATATTATATAGATTTTTTTATGTGATAACCCTGCCGGCCGCCCCTATGCAGCTAATACCACCTTTGGAGGAAAGGCGCAACAGCTGATTTGCTGTCATTCTGTCTGCAATCCGCAGTTTGCCAGCATGGTTTGAGGGTTACGACTTAGCAGGAATGGATGTTTAATTTAATGATATATTGCTTTTGGGCCTGTGTTAAATGATTATCTTCAGGTACTGAGCGAATATCCTAGCGCCATCTATGAGACAGAAGTAGAACCAAACTCTGTAAATCATTTTAAAATATATTTCTAAATTGACATTTGTGTTCTGGTAGTGCCTCACAGGTGACGGTGGACGCCCGATTGCAGTACACGGTTTGCTATCTTCAGGTAGAATACGTTAACCAATGCAATGAATGACATATACTTGTTTTTCTCTGTATTATTTTTTCCGAAATTGAGAGGGTAAGAATAGACACATGAGTCTTTGTACCAGAACTCAGTGTATCTCAATAAAACAATTTGTTCGTAAAAAAATATATAATTTGTCACCGTTTTTAAAGCTAAATCGTTTATATAAAAAGTAAATACATACATGAATGTGATACACAATATGGTATGGAGGATACTTAAACCTAACATGTGAGCATTTATATACAAGTGCTAACTGAGTGCAAATATCACATCTCTTTTTAAGATCACGATACATTCCAACATCACAACAACATTGACTTTATTGACCCGTATTTCTTCTTTTGTTTCAAGTAGTTTAAATTGTCTTACTTTGTGGCGATCTTGTTAATCTTGGAAAGCTCGAACCAATAGCACGTTTGAAATACCAAGACGTTTCTTTATAAAGTATTCAAATTTTATAATTCAACCTCATCGTCCGAACATTTTGTTAGTCTTGAACTTTTTTTATAAGATTTTGTGGATTAAAAATTGTATTCGCATTGCTGATTGGCTGTATAACAATCAAAATATCACATTTTCTTTGAAATATATAAACCTAATGCATAACATTCTTTCAACAGCAGTTGAATCAGATCAATTATTATTTATTTTTTCTTTAGCTAGTTCGGTTTCAAGAGATCCTATAAACTAAATCATGACCGTGGTAGAGCCTATATGGAATTGAGGTTTTTAAAAGTCACAACATAGTGACAATGGCACTTGGTCTGGTAAATACAAACTCGCTATCATTTTTCAAGCTCAAAAAGACCACCTCTTATTATGTTCCACTTAATGTTGGTATCCAGGGGGTCCGTACTTAGCAGATACTCCTGCAGAAGCCGAAGCACCACCGCTCAAACCTTCGCTTAATCCGCCTTGAGCTTGTCCACTGAATCCTCCAGATCCCCGAGCAGAGTTAGCTTCGATACTCACGCTGTCCAGACTGGAATCACCACCTCCCACGTCTTGACCAGCTCCAGTACCACCAAAACCAGCACCAGCACCACCGGCTTCCTTCCTGGTGTTGTACTTGATGAAGTAGACTTCTGGTTTTGAAGGCTGAGTGGGAGCGGGGGTGGGGATGTTGATTTCTGGGGCGTCTTCTGGTTTCTTGACCAAGACGTACACCAAGGTTTTCTCCTCGTTCTGGGGCTGGACAGGGATAACTGGAGCAGTTGGGGTCGGAGCAGTCGGAGCCTTGATAAAGATGATCTTGTAGTGCTTCTGGGCAGCTGGCACGCTCAAGGGCCTCTGGGGACGACGCTCTTCCGGTTCCTCAGGGGCTACGTGGACGTAGACGTGCTTGTGGACCGTAGCAGGGGCTGGAGCGGATGAAAATCCACCTCCGAATCCGAAGTCACTGCCTCCAGCAGATGCGCCAAATCCCCCGCTGCTTCTGAAGCTGGACTGGCCGAAGCTGGCCGCACCTTGTCCACCGAATCCGCCGCTGGAGAGTCCGCTAAAGCCCCCGGCGGACTGTCCGCTGAATCCTCCGGCAGAGTGGCTGCTGAGTCCTGAAGCCTGTCCGCTGAAGCCTCCTGAAAACGTAAAAGCTCATTGTACAAGGTGACTCAAAAATATCCCCATACAACCTACAATATGCTTCTCAGGTGATCATAAAAACTCGGGATATTCTTTGAATATTTCATGAAAAAATATACACAGTGTCCCAGAACAAAATACATCTAAAACACAAAAAAAATTTGCCACAAATGTATACAGAACGGTTCAGACAAGAGGGGCAATACTTCTAAGATAAAAAGTACATCTAAAAATAACGAAAAAATATTATAAATATCGGTCTCCAAATGTCCCATTATAACGATACAGGGTGTTGTAAATTTCTATCCGTCTGATTAAACTGGACAAAACACGAACATTATTCAAATCATGCTAATACACAGTTTGAACGCCACTAACATTAACTTAATTTTTTTACTCAAATTTTTCCTCAAATATTCAAACCAATTTTTCTCCAACAGGAGTTATATGACAAAATTTTGTCAAGACAGGCGATACATGTAAAATTGAATATCTTATTCAAAAATGCAATAGATGTTTTATAAACATCCTTTATTTTGGAAAACTGTAAATATTTTTTTTTGCTTTGCTCTATAAAAAGCTTGGATCTTGAGCTGTAGCAAAATCAACTCTGTGCCAGCGGACCTTCCGTATTCGTTTTTCAAATATTCAATTTTTCTTAGTTGGTTTTTTATCGCTCTTTTGCACAATGAAAAAAAGTTTCTGAGGGGTAGCTGCGAAATTTTGTGAAGATTCTATACCTCGTCCTTGGTCGCTTCTGAGAGCTCTAATCATGTTAGCGCATATTAATATAGAGGCTCTGAAAGTTGAAAGTATGCGAAGGCGTATCCTTACCTGAAAGACCTGAGGGAGCTCCGTATTGAGAAGATGGAGCAGCGACTGGAGCAGGTGCAGAGTAGCTGTAACCTGAAGGAGGCTCAGGGCGAGCCGAAACCACGGCCACTAGAGCGGTGACGAACTAAAAATTAGTAATTTTGATTAAACAATCGGCTCATACTTTGTCTTGATGTAATACATCTTTGAATAAAATTTTCTATACACTTTGACGTGGAAAAGAGGAAGTAGTGTCTCAACACTACTTATAACATTCACTCGAATAAAGTTATTATTACAACTTCGGAAAGATGCGTCTAGACGTTGGAACAAAGTACCTCTTCTATGTTTCTCCCATTCCAGTTTTGAAGATGTGCCATAAAAGAACTTTGGACCAATATCGCATATATTTACATGCATTTTAAAACAAAATTTTTACCTTTCATTGATGATGATAATTATACGATCTTTGAACATTTTAACGCAAACAATAATACATTTTTTTAAATAATATCGATAATCCATTTTTAGAGCCGAAATACATGTTATTTCCGCAATAAATAGTTCATGATTATTTCAGTTACTCTGTGAGAAGTGTCCCAAAAGAATTTGGGAGGAATGCAAGATGTATTTTGGCATTTTGTCCGCTACACGTCTATAGTATCGAAGATTTCAACAAGGATGCTAGGACAACAACTCCTACGTTAATCCTTTTGAAGCTTCTTCTCGCATTCCACATTAACATAGATTGAGAAAGTGCAACAGGTATTCAGGCTGTAAGGTACATACAATAGAAACAATTTTTGTATGCTTGGTAGTTTTTCTCTGTGGCATGCTCGGATAATCAAAATTGCTCTAACTCGCTACAATTCTTAAAGAATTGCAAAAATCCCAATTGTGACCATATTTGAGGTTATGTAGCGTCGGACACAACTTATCTGACTTCTCAGCCCTTTGTTTGAAATCCAATTCAATTTTTTTAAATTATATGAGTGTTACAATTTGGAGCATCACTGGTAATAAATAGTATAAAAAATAAAAAGCATCGCTTTATGACAGTCATCGGTTTTTGTAAATTTTTACAAAATAAGTTTTAGATTTAAAATGAATTAGCAAGAGCTATAAAAATTTCACAATCTCAAATGCAAAGAAAACAAACGCATAGGGATAATTAAGAAATTGAATTCGAAATGCCGAACTTACAATGAAAAAGTGTCATTGTGATTTTGAAACCAAGGGTATTTTTGACAGGAGAAAAATTTACAATACCATATAACGAAAAAATATGGTCCAAAAGGACGATTTTCACACTTCTATGCAAAAATGCTAACGAAGTAGAACGATTCTGCTGCGAGTCGAAAATCCACCAGAAAACTGCACTCCACTAGATGCTCACGTTAACACTATCCACAAATCCACATATATCACGCCCGACACTACGAACCTTCCGAAATTCGAAATTCAAATGCACTTTCGCTTTGCAATTAGCGCCGCTGCTCACCAAAAATAATTCTTATGCGATCTACTTACCACAAACGGTTTCATGTCGATTCGAATGAGTAAAAGATGATTTTACTCAGGTCTGTTAGTTAGTGACGCCGTTCTAATATCACTTGGTGTGTTTTATAGGTGGTTATGGCACATTCGGACCCCTTCCCTCCTCTAAACCGTCTGCACTATCGCTCTTCTTCTATTTCTACGTCTTAATTGATATGGTGACGTAAACGAAAAATGATTGTAAGTCGAGCAGTATTAGTCCAATCATCAGGGATGTCAAGGCTATAAAATTCAATAATAGACTGGAATTTGGCATTTCAGAACTTGTCAGTGCTAGAGAAAGGTACCCTAAACCGGAACCCCTGAAGTGGTAGGGTCAATTTTTTGGCCGGTGCCGATGTTCGAATTTCAACACAACCTAACGCATAGTTAATCAAAAATATGGACTGTGTTTTAAGAATAAAGTGGCAGAATTACGAACGTTTGTGTCCTTGGATCTGTTTCTTATAAGTTATGTCTTTAGTTCTAATCCAATATTACATCCAAACTTGTTTAAATTAGTTAAACCGTGATGATCTTTCGAGGATTAAAAGTACACAACCTCAATAAAGTTGTTGAATTTGGATTAAAATACTTTAAAAAGGAGAATCGAAGCTGGTTAAATTATAGCAACCTTCCGTCAAACACAAGCATATCAGAAAGCAACACCTGAAAATTTTTAGAATTCAGACTATAGGTACATTTTTTAAAAATACAACTGCAGTAACAGAAAAGGATGAAACCGTTTGGTCTGTAGTAGTGTGAAATAGAAATTTGAAGGTTGAATTTTTATATCAAAATCCGTCATTTTGTTTGTATAAAATTTCAATGTTGCCAGTGTCACGTGAACTGCTAAAATGAATCCAACAACAACGCATACATCAAGGTCCTCCAAGTCGTTTAAGCAGTAACCCGTGAAATGGAAATTTCGAGGTTGATTTTTTGTTAAAACTCCTCATTTTATTTTTTAAATTTTTAATATAGCTGGTGTCACATGCATTACTATGACAACGACACCTCTCACCCTACGTGTGAAAAACACAACCCTCCGTCTGAAATCAGAGGTGTTGGCGATACATCGATGCTTCAAAAAAATCTATGTTCTAATAAAAAAACATTGGTTGGTCATTTTTGCATATCATCGATGTAGAGAAGAAACGGCCATCTATTTGTAATTGTTGACACTATAAAATGGCCTGGCTATGCATAAATAGTTAAAATACAAAATAAGACTTTAAACTAAAATACAGTTTCTTCAGATACATCAAGCGCGTTTTAGATATTGTCTGGCTCATTAAGCTCATTTCTTTTACAGACAAAAAAAGATTGGTGTTACGATACATCGATGTTTATAAAACGATGTTTTTTTCTGAATCATCGATATATCAGTACATCGTTACGTTGTTTGAATCCCTATTTGAAATAGGATCTAAAAACAGCTAGATATTTACAGAGCTACTTTTGGAACACCCAATTCCAATTTTCAAAATTATACCTTGCAATAAAGGTAATATTTAGAATGAAGCGACCATTTGAATCATTTAATTTTATTTAAATGGAATAAATGAAGTCAAATTCAACTATAATAATGAACTTTGACGAAAGTTTAAATTCAGAAAACAGTGCATAATAAACTGGCTTTGCTATCTTCGCATGTTCGTCCTGTAAGATTGGTCGTCTTTCAAAATTATGTACACTAGTAATAACTAAAGGTATTTTTAGAGAGCTTAATCGGTTTTGATGAGTGTTTCATTCGTTTCTGAATTTGCTGATCAAGATAATCTGCATTTTTAATTCCTTGATACGCATGAGTACATGTTTTTCGAAAACTTGAAGAAATGAAAACTATATGCGAAGTAAAGGGCAAAATAAAAGTACAGATTTATACGACTTGCAATAGCAAGCCCTCTGGACTCTTTGGATTGAATTAAATCAAGTTGGTGCAATGAGAACATTTGATCAACATAACTCTGAGAACACAACCTCAAAATTTCGAGCCAGCAATTGGAATAATGTTTTCCATAAGAGTGGTGCGTGGTCCTTTACTCTAACATTTTTGAGCGCCATCGAGATGAATATGTAAAATACTATATCAATAGTAAATATCTTTAAAGGCACAGAGGAAAGAATAATATTTTTACTTTCAAACGGTCATTCTTTTGAAACGTGTTATTTTTCTGAAGGTTCAATCGAATTTCTTCCTGAGTACTGTACTATATCCTCCACCTAAAATAGCCAAATGTCTTGTTGAACATGAAGGTTAACCAAGGCACAATGTTGCAACACTAATAGTCAAAATGTAATCAAATGAGCATGAGTTTGAATTTTAACAGCCGAGAGGGCTTCGATTATAGTAAATCACTCTCGTGAAATGATTCGATTATTTGTATTGTGTTTGTGAATACTGATTGGAGCGATCAACAGTCATGAACAAATATGTAGGTGAGAACGCAAGACTAAAGTTTGGCTACTAGAAATTAGTTGGTGTTATACAGGATGGCGCATCGAAAACGAAACAGACGCTTTTACTGGCAGCTCAGTTTTTTTTTTTTGGAAAAAACGCTCAGACCCGTCGATTTTGTTTTCGAGGGGGACACAAGTTTGACAAAAAATCACGTTAACACGTGCAGCTCCCTGGGCGGGGGTGACACCAACCCTAAAATCTTAAAGGAAAAGGGGGGTCGAGTGATACCTTATTTTAAAGGTCTTTCAATTCCCTTTATAATGACGTAAAATACATGAGCTTCAGTTCACTAGTTTTGCAGATTTATTGATTTAAAGTTTAAAGTAGACTTTAATAAGTACATCAGATTAGTTTGTACTACTTTCAAAAGAAATTTGACTAAAAAAAATAATAAGTAAATGCTTTTCTTCACTACGCCCATGGTTTGTTTATCATTTTGTTGTTGAAAATAGCAATTCGAGCGTTTTTTTGTGGCAAAAAAGTTATTTCTTGAAAAAGATAAGGAAATATCTCGTACTTATTTTAAATAGGAATTCAGTACATAGTTTGCGATTGATTTGACCAAACTTTGTTGCTAAAATAACTTGTAACGCTTTATTACATAAATTAACCACGGTATATTCCACAGCAGAAAGACTTGAAATTATCGAAATATTTTTCGGAAATAATCAGTGCGCTAATATAACAGCAGAAATATTTCTAGAACTTGTAGCTAAATTTCGGGAAACTGGGTCAGTCGCCAATAAAAACGCAACATTGAAAATCCCATAAGGAACGAAGCAATAGAAGTGGGGGTTTTAGGGCAAGTTTATGTAGATCCTACGTTAAGTACCCGCAAATTGGAGACTGTGTGTGGTGTTAGTCGACGTACTGTCCAACGGATTCTAAAGGCCCATAGTGTTCATCCGTATAAAATACACCTTGTACAAGAATTTAATGAAGTCGATTTTGATCGGCGATTAAAGTTTTGTGAAGATATGAGTGAACGAATTATAAACGATGAACATTTTCTATTCAACACTTGCTTTTCCGACGAATGTTCCTTTTTCTTAAATGGCGTAGTAAATCGTCATAACTGCCCATATTGGTCCGAATCTAATCCCAGAATTTATCATGAGGTTCATACACAGAAGCCACAAAAATTAAATGTTTGGGCTGGTATTTTTGGCGATCATTTAGTTGGTCCTTTTTTCTTACCTGAAAATTTGACCGGTGAAATGTATTTGGAATTACTGGAAGACGCCATAGATCCTGCATTACGCATTACGTGTTCGACAATATTTAGATCAGACGTTTCCAGATCGATGGATTGGTAGAAGAGGTGCCATTGAATGGCCCCCAAGATCGCCAGATTTATCACCTTTGGATTTCTTTATGTGGGGTCATTTAAAAAGCGAAATCTATGCTACTCAGCCAACATCATTAGAAGGCCTGCGACAAAGAATTGTGTATGAGTGCCTCCAAATTACTCCTCAAATATTGCAAAATGTGCGGCAACGTTTTGAGCAAAATCTTTATTATTCCATGGAGAGTCATGGTGGCCATTTTCAACATTTACTTGCCTAACAGGTCATTTCATTCTTCATTTTTAAATTACTTTGCTGCCAATTGTATTGATCTCCACTAATGATGATGTATTAGTTTTATTTAAGCTTTAAATCGATAAATCTTCAAAACTATTGAACTGAAGTACATTAATTTTATATTATTATAAAGGAATTGAAAGACCTTTAAAATAAGGTATCACTCGACCTCCCTTTCCATTTAAGATTTTGGGGGTGGTGTCACCTCCGCTTAGGGGGCTGCACTTGCTAAAGTGATTTTTTGCCAAACTTGTGTCCCCCTCGAAAACAAAATCGACGGGTCTGAGCGTTTTTAAAAAAAAACTGAGCTGCCAGTAAATGCGTGTTTCGTTTTCGATGCGCCACCCTGTATATTAAAGTCAAAACTCATAGCCGCACGGGTATAATGTATCTTGAAAAGGGACATTATGTCGATTTTTTTTTGAGATTGTATTGGTTTTTTGTGACATTGTGTAGGTTTTTCTACAAGATGTTTACTAGCTGATGGACACATTGTGAACTCGTTTTGTAGTTGTACGTATAGGGCGACGATGAACCTATAGTCAGCCGAAACGCCATCGACAAACGGAAAGAGAAGCCAGCGCCAAGGCCTTATTGCGATAATTGTGAAGGTTAGTCATGAGACTTCAGTTATCAATGTTTGGCTCTGATGTGATATAGAATCTGCTTCAGAGATGGCATTACTGGAGGTCTAAGCTGTAAGTTGTATACTATAGCTAGAAGGAAACGGCAATGCATAGGTGCACGGTGAGGATTTGTGTGCTAATATGTGTTGATGATAATTCAATTGGATTCTTGTCTCAAATACACTTACTTGAGATTTAAAGCTAGAAATTAGTTGCGCATCCACTTTGTCTAATCCGTTCTGGAAATTACATATGTAAATTTGATAAATTTCAAAGATGAGAGAGATAAGAAATAATTATATTCACTATCTAATTACAAGTCATAATGCTAACAGTAATTACACACAACGCGGGCGGAATGGTGATTTCCCGTAATACTCCTCAAAGTTTTTGAGAATACAAAAAAACGTAAAAAATCGTAATTTATAACTTTGAACATGTCTACACAAAGTACAACATATAAAGAACCCGTCGGGCACAGCAATAGATATTCTTCATTGGCAGCATATCCAGTAATGATTTTCTCACACAGCAAATATCACTGATTTTATACACATGCGGACCAAAACACACAATGCCTATAGTTGAGCCATTCCTCCATAGATGGACGCTCACAACGATCCTAGTGAGCAAT